TCATCCGGGCTTCAACCTTGCAGCAGGCACACGCATGCATGGACAACGTGAAAACTGCATGGACAAACAAGCAATCAGGAAGTGCAGCCCAGCTGCATTTCTTCCTTCAAAAGCACCGGTCCTCAACAGGATGAGTAAAGCGCTACTTGTCAGGTCACGGCCAGTGCCAAGATTCCAAATATGCAAGACATCCAAACCCACTGTCGCCATGGAAAAATTGCCAAACTCCACTATTGCAGGTGGACTGCTCGCTGGCCATGGGCAAGTTGGTACTGATCTCCGCCATTCAGCATTTTCAGACAGATCTGTTGCTGGCATTGCAAGGCTTTTTGTGCAGTTGCACAAGAAACAAAAATCGTCTTTGGTTGGCTTTCTCTTCAAGTTCAAGCACTGTACCAGCCATTTCCAGTCTCCCTTCAGGGAAACAAACCGGGCATGTAAGCCTCCAATAGCGTGATTTTGCCATGCATTCAGCGAGGCACAAATGTGTTTCATCGCTTCTTGTATTGTCACATTAATTTGGCCATCCATGGCATACCTATGCACGGGAAGCAAGCAGATCAGGAAGCGGCTCTTCTTGACATCAGTCCAGAAAGGTGATTGTTCTGATGACCACTGCGCAGCCATGTACTGATTATCTTTGTAGATTTCTGCCTCATCTCCGAACAAACAAAGCCCAACAGAATCTTCATGTGGCGGGGGTGCTGCAACTCTGCTCATGGTCTCCCAATACTCTTGTGTTGCAGTGCCAAAGACCTCTGCATAGCCACTTGAGATCAATTCTTCTGCCTGCAGGCATGCACGCAATGTAAATTCCAAAATCACAAGCCGTACTGTGTGAAATAGTATCTGCAAACTCTGCATCATATAAGGGCATGACCAGGAGGTGTGGAAGCATCATTGGCCAGTCCACTAGTTCTACCTCTCCAGAAGAGGCATTGGTCATGGGAAGCTGAACATAGTGAATTGCATTTTTCACAGTGAGATCATGCCGTGCGAGTAATCGGTAGGCTTTGTCGTCCCTGTCTGCTTTTCCCCTGCAGCGTTGACATATAAGTATTCAACATGCAGGTAGATGAGACGCATGGCTCAGTGCATGTAAAAACATGCATGGCTGCACTTCCACAGGGTCGACTGGTACGTCTCCCCCAAGCGTACTGCCAACGAGAGATGCGCTTCACCTCTCCCCACTTCAGCAGCGATCCTGATGAACCATGGTAAAAACTATGCAAGCGCATGCAAGAAGTGACAGTCGACATCAGCATGTGCCGGCCTCTGGTCCAGATCTGTTCGAAGCTCATCTGTTGTACCTGCATGCTGGCATGCATACTTTCCATAGAAAATTGTCATGCACTCTGTTCGAAAGCAATTGAGGTGCAAGCGCGGGCTAGACTCATTTTGTTCTCTTGTTCAAGCTTCAGGGAAACTTCCAAAATTCGAATGCAAATAGCGCATTCTGCACATCGCGCCGCAACTGACATTTGACTCTTCGACATGATCCCCTTAGTGGCGGTATTATCCATGATGTATGAATTCAAACCGCGTATGCTATAAGTGACGGACTATTTTTCCAGCCGCAGGCATGTGCACGAGACCTGCACGATACAAAGAGGATGTTCCTGCATATGCCTGTATATATCTGTGTGTTTACATGCAGACATATATGGCCGGATCCTGCCTGCAGGTCTATAGATCTATGCCGTCGAGTAGCCCCTGCATTTGCATGCACATATTTGCCAGTACATTTTTTGCCTGCAAGCTGCTAATGTAATGCAGCCAAGGTTCTTCTTCACCTCCTTCAGCACTGCTCCAGCTTTGGCTCGTTCAAAGCGACTTTCGGCGACCTTGCAGGCAAAACATGCTTATATTTCAAAACATGTGAGAAATTAAATATTGTATATATATATATATGTTTGTATCAACATGCTTGCAGAATTACAACTCAATGCAGCATGGGCACAGCTGCAGTGACAGATGCTCGCAATTGCTCAAATCCAGCGTCATCGGTGGCTACTTCAGTCCTGCACAATTGCGAAAAAATCCGAATGAGAAAATGAATGGACAACATGCATGCACATCATGATCCTTGTGTACCACGTGGTAAGCTTCTGGATGTGCTTGTCCATGGACACCTCTGCTTCTTTCAAGACAGGTTTGCCTTGCACTTCCAACTTCATGGACTGGAGCTGGCCCAGCTCCTTCTTGCATTCCAAACCTGCAGGCATCAAAATGTGTGTGCGTGTGTGATATTTCCATCTGTTGTGGATGTGCTGCTTTGCAAATCTGAAGGTGCTGAGGACGCAACGTGCCAGACTGAGCTTCTCATCAACGGTTTTCCCGGCCAGGGCCACATCCGAGAGACCAGCGCCCTTAGAAGTGCTTCCTGCTGCACTCTTTGGCTTGGGTTTCGCTTTGCCTCCTGCATGCATGCAGTGCATGGACATGTGCATGAAAACTTTTCAGACAACCATCGGCCTGCACGGGCACTGCTCGGCTGTTGGCTGGGCGTTGGCGGGGCCACGGCTTGCTGCAGATTCTGCAGTTGGTCACGAACCAGGGCCATGGGATCCGGCGCATGCACGGTGCTGACAGCTGGATCAGCCATGGACATCACTCGAACCGCACTCCGACAATCCAAGTTGGTATGCATGGACATTTCATTTTCCTGCTGCCACAACTCCTTCTCTTCCATCTCCATTGACACCCGGTAGCGAGTGGATTCAGGATCATTTGGAGCATCGGGATCCGGCCGACCTCCACGTGCCACGCATGCCTGGATCTTCGCCCTTATCGGATCGGAGCATGCGCATGCTACGCATGACAGAAAAACATGCACTATATATATATATATGTAAGTATATATGCATATTATCTGTATGAATGTCAAGCAAGGCTCGTCGAATACTTCTTGTCATGCATCTCCCGGATCGTGAGCCATTGGCGAGTGTGGTGCGCTGCATCCACCTTGCGACGGGTCACTCTCATAGCCGCCTCCGTTGCCTCCAAGTTCTCACTGTTTTGGAGGAACTGGTAAAGTGCTCTCCGCTTGTCTTCATTGGATCCATTCCACAGAGCCACCAAATTCGGATGAGCTGTTGCTCTCGGACCGCTGACGACGCGATCCAAGAGATTCCACTGCTTCTTGTTAGTTTTGGACGTCGGCAACTCACTGGCCGGCACATCATCTGCCTTTGCAGGCTCTCCAGTATTGGGCAGAGCAGCTGGGGCAGCCGCAGGCACTGGCGGGGGCGGCATGGCCAAGGCTTGCGAAGGACCCGCAACTTCACCACCAGGTGCATGTGCAGCTTGCTCAATCTCTCTGTCAATCTCTGCTTCCAAGTCCAGGCTTCGGCTTCGCCTATTTTAAAGAATATTACCTATACACATACATGTAGTAACTTAGTGGGAATATTTTAGACCACTGCACGTAAAGTCATAAAATGTATTACTGTATACAGTTGTAAGAAATTGAGAGATATGTTACGGATTATTGATATAAACTGTACATATTCAAATTAAGAATTTGTCAGTGAACATAATATATATATATATATGTATTTTTACACATGACATGCATGTATATGATGGTAAATGCACACCACATGCTTTCAACCACCATGAACACCATGCATGAGAAACAACAAAGTATGAATACATAAGTGCATGAACCTTCATGAACACATGAGCATAAACACATGAACATGAATGCATGAACATGAACACATGAACATGAACGCCGCATGTTAGGAATCATGACGACATGAAAACAACGAACCATGAACTATATGAAAGTCATGGAAACATACTAGATATCATGGATCACGAACATGAAAGCCATGACCATAAAGGACATAGCATCGAAAAAACATGAACATGAACGTGAACAAACATGAATGTTTCAAAAAATCCTCGCACCGGATGTCTGAAAACATGAACCACCATGGCGCATGATTAATCCATCATGAACCAAAATACCACGAAAAATCATGAACGACCAACATGTAAAAGAAACATGAACCACCATGACCATGGAAAACATGAACCACAGTGACCATGGAAAACACGAATCAACATGAACATGAAAAACATGGACATGAACAACATGAAACGCATGAACCGAAACAAAAACGTGACACACACACACACGACCATGAAAACACAAACACCATGATTGTAAAACACATGAACCACCATGAACATGAAAGAGATAACACTAAAACACGTGAACATGAGTCACCATGAAAATAAAAACCATGAACCGCCATGAACATGAAAAAGATAACACTAAAACGCGTGATCATGAACCACCATGAACAATAAAAAACATGAAACACAACCTGCACATGATAACGCCATGAACCAATATAAGCAAACAAAATCATGAACAACCAGCATTCAAAAAATAAACACCATGATCATGGAAAACATGAACCATCATGACCAGGGAAAACATGGACATGAACAACATGAAGTTCATGAACAGAAAACATGACCATGAACCAAATCAACACCAACCAAAAACATTCTACTACAATGACACCCCCTCATGGGTGCAAAAAAACAAACTAAGGCCCCAGCTCACAACTAAGTTCCAGACGCATCCTCCTCATCAAGGTCAATCGACCCCAAGTGCACAGTCGACTTGCCCTTCAACAACTGCTGCCCGTAGCGCAAAGTGTCAATGGACCTGCCCAGGTGAAATAGCAAACGCGACACTTGCAACTATAAGTGAACACATTTTCGAGCGCAAACAAAAATCAGCAAATATCAAGGGCCTCTGGGTTCCTTGCTTCTCCAACTTTTTTGTGGGGTCAATCTCTTCTTCGGAACCCATCTCCGAAGGCACAGGTTTGCCCCATGGACTGCGGTCCGGGCTCAAACCTTCTTGGTTGTCAGGCTCCTCTGGGGTGTAGCTTCCAACACTGCAGGCTTCACTTTTGGATTCCTTCACCTCCTCCTTCAGTTTTTCTGGTTTCATCTCTGCAGTCTTCTCTGGAGTCGTTGTCTCTTCATCTAGCTGGGTGTCACCCGGCTCTGCAGATGCTTCAAGCTCTTGTGGTGGGTCTGCGGGCATGGAACTGGCCTTTGTTTTCTTGAGCAAGGGTTTACATTCCCGCAGTAACTCCTTGGCTTCATCCAGGTCAAGCCCCGTCGCATCCCTCACTCGCTTTGCAGCTGGCACACGGTGGTTGTTCTGCTCATACAGTTCCTGCACCACGCCAAGCAGCAAGGCCTTTGCTCCGTCCATCAGGTGGTTTCAAGGCCACACAGGCCACAAACAGCAGATCTACAAATTTTGAGCCAAAAACACTTGAAACTGCAATTTTGGGACCCTACAAAAATCTGTCACTGGCGGTCCCGGGTGGTCCTGCCGGTTCCCGGGGTGGTCCCGCCGAAATCCCGGGTTGGTCCCGGGTCATTTTTCGACAGGGAGTTGCCGGCCATGAACTGCGCTAAGACATGATGATTGCACAGATTTGAGGTGAGGCACTTTTTCGACGCTGCTGGCTGCTAGTCGCTCCATGACACCGAATTGGCCGCTACTTTGGCAAAAGCATCATCGAGCAGTGGCCTCCATGTATCTGAGGGCTTAAAGTTCGAACTGCGCCTTAAGTAGCGAATTGTCTCCACAGCGTTCGCCTCAGTCGAAAATTACCAGGAAACATATATATAAGCAGAAGGGCTCGCCAATCTAGGTGCCTGACATCGTCCCAGACATCAACCATGGACCAGTCGATTTCCTCTCTCCAGAAAAAGTCACAAAGACCAAAATGAAAAAGTTGCCATGCAATCCTTGAAAAGCTCCACGTCCGTTTTCCCAGCATCTAAGCCCGGCAAAGCTGGTGGTTCTGGACGGGCCTGGCCCGCAGTCAAGTAACAAAAAAACAACACCAAAGTCACCAGTCAACACGCTGCCTTCCAGTTTGCCTCTCCCATCTCTTTCTTCAGCGTGGCAAGGTGAATACCAAAGCGTTGACGGTATGTCCTTGGCACCAAATACAAATTGAACTTTCCAAAAACAGCTGCTTGGCAGCCACATCACGATTTCCACAAGAAATCATGTTTCAAGTTTGCTTGTTTCATGGTTTCATGTTTCATGATGGTTTCATCATGGTTTCATGGTTCACGGTTCATGGTACACATGTATGTTTATATATATATAATTATATAATAATATTTTACTGATTCTCATGCATGATTTATCATGTGGTTCCTATTTGGTCAAATGTTCCAAACGTTTCTTGCATGCGTGCGGAAACTTCCAACCCAAAAACTCTTCCAAGGCCCCAGCTGGCTATTGGTCATCACTCCTGGAACACCGCTCCAGGATTCGCCTCCACCTTCTCGCTTTTGCCTTTTCACTAGTGGCTCACCAGTAAAGGAAGCCAGGTCTACTTTTGTCATATGACCTGCAGCCAAAGAAAGCTCCCGCAAAAGATTCTCGTCATTGGAGTAAAGGACATGACGCTTAGGCGTTGCTTGGCTTCTGTCTGAAGCATACAGGCCACCCCAAATCCCACATTTGAAGATTTGAAGTGCAGCCAATATAAGTGCCATCCTGGGGTGCAGCTCACACAAGCTGCCATGTGGCTGCTCCAACAGAAACACACAGCCCATGGCTAGGCTGTACCACATCACCAGCGAAAATCTTGAAGCGAGGCGATTTCCGTTCTTCACGAAGCCATATTTCTTGTTGCCGCAGGGAAACAAGATGCTACGTTGGTGAGTGCCCGCACTCCTGAGCTGAGCTTGCCCCAGTAAGTTGCGTGATGCTGATATCTCATGCAACAGATGATCGGACTAGTGATTTTGCATGATACATGCATGGCAAGAATCGGAACACAGAACGAAGTGCAGCACAGCCCGATGAGGTGCAGGGCACCAGGCTTGGATCTTCGAACGGTTTGCATGCACAACCTCAGCATACTTAAGGTGCATGGTGCAGACTTGACATGTTGCAGGATCTGTGAGGGCAGGACGCAAAGCCACCTTCTGTCAAAAAGTCAAAGGCTTTGGGGCCACCCTCGAGGAGCTTGTCCAATTCAACACCACAGTAGTTTGCCTCATGAAATCTCCGTGCCCTAAACCAATTTACACGAACAACAGCTCTGCAAGCCAGCACCCGCCTTTCTCATTTCGGCACTGACTTTGCCTTCGCCACTGAAATATTCCACCCAGTCATAGACCTGCTGCATGCGTGCTGCAAGCCCTAGAAATTAAAGTAGTGAATTCGCTTCTGCTTCCACTTAAAGATCTTAAAGGCATGTGTGTTTGCAGATCAAGGAGAGACATGGCCTGATCTCCTTTCAAGCTCACATTGCGGACCAAATGGAGATGGAGCAGAATTAGAATGGGAGGCGCATGGCACCGAAGCATGTCATAGACCCCCATGGTCTATATGTATAGAAGTGAAACCTATTTTGCCTTGAGCCCAGACCCTATGGGAATAAACACTTGGATGCCACCCGCCAAAACATGCACATGCATGCACGTGCATAGCCGGCATTCTCTTTTTCACACCACTTGACCTTGCATGTCAAGTGATCCCCAGGCCCCTAGACGTGATGATCCAGCTTAGAATCATCCACATGAACATCAAAGCCATGAATCCATTGAATCCACGGAATATATCTAATTAAGCAAACCTTCGTTTCTTCAGCTCACTCAGCGGCACAGTCTTCAAAAGGTCCGCCCGCTCATCAGAGCGCATCCATGCCTCATTCGCCTTCTTGAAGTTGACGTTGCTTTCCTCTCGGAAATTCTTGATGAACTCCAGCCTCTTTCTGTTGAAGTCCCCAGCCACGTAACCGACTGCATGGTCAGCTGCTGGAGCCGCTGCCCCGGCTGCTGCAGGAGCAGCCTCATGCCCAGCAGCTAGATCTGACGGCGCCTGCTGTGGCAGTAACGCTAAGCCTTCTTCTTCTTCAGGTCCGGCAATGACAACCTTGCCCTTGCCCTTCTTTTGGTTTTTCTTTCCTTTCTTATTCTTCTTTTTGTCACCTGCTTTCTTAACTGCAGGGTTGCCAGTTGGCTCCACATCGTCCGATGTCACAGTCGCAAATGGGGCTGGTGCTTGGACCTCTTCCAAGGCTGTGAGAACAAATTCCGGCAACTTGTTCCGGCATGGTGTAGCTATTGGAGCAGCTTTGACAGCTGCCATTCTCACAGGCGGCTGCACATCATCCAGTGGAGCAGGGACCTCTGCCTCAGGCATTGCTGACTTCTTGTGAGCTTGCATCTTAGCAGCCATGGCCACCCAATCGATTCCGTTCTTTGCAGGCTTGGAATCGTGATCGGGACCAGCCAAAGCATTTCCCAATTCTTCCACTTGGTCAGCGGCACTATCCATTGAATCAGCATGGCCACTGGCAGAGCTGTCTGCAGACATCTCAATGTTCATTTCCTTGAGCCGCTGCTTCAGATGGGTCAAACCCTTGAGCTTCGCTGCATCAGGTGATTCTTTCCAGCGGCGTCGAAATCGCGAGACCATCTTTCTCAATCCAAATGCCATTTTGCCAGCCAGCTGCTCAACAGCAGACATGCCTATGCCAAGCGGAATGAGCTTACTGACTTCGTAGTGCTTGGCAATGGCACGGGCCAAGACCATCTCTGAAAGCCGCTCATGCGGACTCACACTCATCACAGCAAAAATTGCCTGCAAGCAGATCAGGTATATATAGCTCAGCCATGCAATGAAACCATGGTTGCGAAAGCACGCCGCATCTGCATGCAGAAATGAGAACAATGTGCCCATGCACCTCAGGGTTCAAGTCGCAATCCCGGAGAGTCGCTTCATCTTTACCAAACAGGCCCTTGCTGTGGGCAGTGATGAAAGTAAAGCCAACCTGCGAGATCAAGATCAATAGAATGACCAGCAAACATGTTTATAGGATGTTGCATGTCTGCCCAAATGCGAAATGCAGGTATGTGTGTGTGTGCGCGTGTGCCTTCTTCATTTTTTCTTCTTTCCCAAATGCTGCCACATACTGCTCCACCAAATCCGGGATTTTGGCAAGCTGCTTCAAGTCACGAGGCATGGCGCTAACGAAAATTTCCAACCAAATGCTGCCAAAGGGTTGATGCATGGTCCATGCGAGGGGCTCACACAGCCCCACCCCTGCAGAAAGAACAGCACACCGACAGAAAAAAAGCAAAGGTCACGGGAAGAAGTGCTTGTATGCCACCAGCGATGTCTATGCGCCATGCATGGGGCCTGGCTAGACATATATATGGTGATACATGTCAACCCCATGAGAATCAAAAATTGTGGGGAAGAACGTGAACATGAACCACCATGAGAATGTTAAGAAACTGAATCATGGACATGAAAAAAGAGCCACCATGGCAAAAACCATGAACTGCTATGAACATGTTAAAAAATGTCTAAAACATGAACCACCATGACCATGAACAACATGAACCGCCATGACCATGGAAAACATGAACCACCATGAACACGAGGGAAACAACATGGACATGATTTACAGCATGAACATGTGAACATCACTTAAAACATGAAAACCACATGAACCACCATGCACATGGAAACACCATGAACCGGTTCAAAAACCCAAACCGCCATGAACATGAAAAAAATAGAAACACATGAATATGAACCACCACAAGAATGTTAACATATGAACCACCAGGACGTGTAAAAACATGAGCCACCATGACAAATAATAAAACAATGACCAACTATACACATGTTAAACAAAAAACAGCAAATGACATGTTTAAAACACATGAACCACCATGACCATGGAAACCATGACCCACCATGACCATGGAAAACATGAACCTCCTTGAACATGGACAAACACCAGCGTACATGATTTGAAGCATGAACATGTAGAAAACAAACATGAACATGAGAAAACACATGAACCACCATGAACATGCATGAACCGCCATGTTCATGGAAAAATCATAATCATGGGAAAACATGAACCACCATGTACATGCATGGAATTTCATGACATGACATGACATGTCACAGCTGGGGTCCCGACTATACTGCGCTGAGATCCGGGCCAGAAAAGTTCAACCTGGGCAGCAGCAACACTTCATCCAGCAGTAGTGCAAAAAAGTCACCACAGCAACAGCTAATTTAAAGAAGGCACACAGCAGCAACTACTAAGCTCACCGCTCAGAGCCACCATGAGTCCAACCTGGGCGGCATCAGCATGAAACATTCCAATGTTTTAATGGACAGCTGTGCACAACAATCTGCACATGCACTGGACAAATTCACTTGCATGCAGTGTCTCGCATTTTGTCCTTTCAAATTTTTCCAGTGCAGCCCTTCACGGGTCCATCTCAGCTAGTACTCCTCTGTGAAGGTCATGGTCCAGGTTCGCTTCCTCGAAAATGAGAGCCATGCAATACCATTGAACTGGCATGCATCAACATGCATATTTTGTTTGAGCTTAGACCCACACTTAGGCAGAACCGGTGGAGGAGGTGGCAAGATGTCACCGAAGCCAGGCATCCTGCCATGGAGGACAAATGCATCAACCAAAAAAAACAAGTCTAATGCAGATGCAGTCCTCATGATCGACTCGCCCTTCACAGCTGGCGGCGCGGCCGTTGCTCGGGGGCTCGACCTGGGAAAAAAACTCAAACCACTAGTTGGAACAACATTGCAGCAACTTAAGCATAGATATGCATGAGGCCCCAACGTCTGCAACTGCAGTCCAGATGAGCTGGCTGCCGCTGCTTTGTTGATTGCCTTCGGTGGCGGTGGGCCACGCAGTCCCGAACCCGGCCCACAAGGCCCTTCACCAGCCATCTTCTGCAAAGGCTTCGCAGACTTGTTGACCTTCACGAGATTGGGACGTGGCTGTACCTCATGGGGAGCACGACCAGAAAACCAATGCAGAATCTACAAACAAGAAAACCGGAACAAAGAATGCAGAATCTACAGATGAAAATGCTGAAGCCCCCAACTGGCATCTTCTTCTTCTCGATCGGCTTGACGGCCGGTGCTGCTTTGCACTGGCTTTCCATGAGGACAACGTCTTCCTCAGGCGTTTCACTCTCCCTTTTCCCGGGAGGCGTCAAAGCCTTCGACACGGCACCTTTGCTAGATGCCTGCGGCGAGAATTTGCAGAACAAAAAAACCATGCAACTCACATACTCAGCACTACTGTGTGTTTGGCACCTTTGCATTCTGCACCGTGTTGCTCACAGAAGCCTCATGAAAATCCAAAAACGGAAGAAACAAAACACAAAAACACTCATGCAAAATGTGCCCTGCACATGTTGAGTGTCCCACCATCATGCTTTGAAAGTGGGCCAGCACCATGTCGTGAAACCACAGGTTGCAGTCGCAAGTTTGCATGCATGTCTTTGAGCCAGGCACGTGTCAGCCAGAAAATAAAGCGCAACATGCAAGAGTCACTTGCCAAACATTGCAACGAAAATTCAGCAGCTTCCCGTCATCTCTTCTGTTATCTCTCAGCATCTGGCCCCAAAAATCAATGGAGCATCTGGCCCCAAAAAGAAACGGACGTGAAAGTTCAGTTCAAGGGGTTTGAGCTTTGCTTAGCAGCCACAGATCGCAGTCTGGAGATTCCACATGGCCATGCATGAAACAGCACAAAAAAATATGTTTCTTCCATGACTGGTCATGTCCATGGTAAACATTGTAAGAACAATCCAGTGTTGACCAAAACAATATGACATGTGAGCGACATGAAAAACAAGTGGAAACAACAAAAGAATGCATCACCCTACATGTCATGAAAACATTCCATGTGATACTTGCAGCCGAAGAAGACACATAGGTCTAATTATGAAAACTTGTCTGGGGACACGTGACAGTTATCAAATACAGCTCCCATTGCAACAGCGATGTGCACAACAAAACACTGTTTTCTGGAAATATGTAACTTTTTGTTCGTTGCAGCCCAGCAAACTAGGGGATATCACGCCGAAATGCCCATTTCAGCTAGAAAACCCTTCATTTCTGCAATCATCATGAAAACCCGCAGAAATGGACACCTGCGGGGCACTACTCTACATTCCCACAACCTTTTTTCCAGACAATTTTTCAAGCCTCAGAGCGTGTGCATCCGTTTCACCCACATCACCAACATGCAACCCAAATTTTATTTGGGTTCCGCAATGCATCACACTCTCGAACGAGAGACTGGTCCAAGCCAAACTGGCACCCCGCTACTGGCATGACGGGCTCCGATCCCAATCGCATGTCAACTACCGCACTGCTGTTGGAATGTGTAAGGTCCACGCGTGGTTCAACCACTGGGTTGACCTTGCTGCCAAGCAGTCTTTGTGTGGCCACTTCACCCCTCTTTTTCAGCACGTTGTGAAAGACTTTCGTTTCAAGCTCGTCACGGCCAAGGATTTGTTCTCTTTCCAGGCAGGGGTTGCCCTTCTCTTCGCCAATGACAGGGACGCCCCGGTTGCGCGTCAACCGGTCGTGGTCGGGTCTGTCAGCCTGGTGGGTTCCAGGTCCGTGTTAAAGTTCGAACATGACATCCACCCCGTTGTTTGTCACCAGGGTTTTGCAAGGTCCCTCCTTAATTGGATGCGGGAGATCCGTTGGGCCCCGGCTGCCGACGCTGGTAGCTTGGGTCAGCTTCAAGACACTTCGTGGCTTGAACTTTTTTGGGGCTATGTTCATGATACGTCGGCGCTCCCGGCCTTTTTGCACTATCATGAATGGGTTTGGGTTCAGGATGACCCTACTTTGGAGTTCGCAATTCCATCTTTCGCGACGATGTTCCGTACTTGGAAGCGTACTTTCGATGCTATCCTCAAGGCAGGTGTCGCGGTGCCTTGGTCCCGGCACCTGTCCCAAGTCAGGTCCGTTCGCACGTTTGGTGCGTGTTTTGACTGTCCTGGATTCAACGGGCGTGTCCTCTTGTCGTCGGTGGCTTTGCAGGACCTTTCTGCCCAATTCGCTTTTTCCCCGCGCCTATCGTCATTGCGGGTGCCTGCATTTAATTAGTTTTCAGCAACGGTCCACACGCTCACGAAACACTCGTCGGCGTGCGCACCGGTCTCACACGCGAGCGTGACTATGAGACGAATGTCCGAGAAGTTGATTATCGAAGCCTCGAAATGGCCCTCATTCAAGAATGGCAACCTCGACTCAATTTTCCCTTCATTTGTCAATTCTACCACCCAAAGAATGGTCTTCTCAAAAAAACCCTTCTGAACACCAACGCGCAATTCGGCCTTGCCACCCTCTGGCGTCGTGCCAAACACAAATTCACTCCACAACTGGTTCGCCAAATCTTGACGTCATCACGGTTCCAAAACCGTTTAGAACTCTGGACTATCATCCATGCCTTAGGATCAAACACTAAGGCGAGATTCGAACAAACGAAGATGCTACTGTCCAACGATGGGGGCCTCACTCTTTGCTATGCTCTTCGTCGGCTGGCAAACAATACCCAGGAGCCTTTTCGAACGCTGTCCTTGACCGCCATCGATGCCTCAATCAAATGGTGGCACGGAAAACCAGCCCCCAGGGCATCCGCTTTACGGGCACCTTGGTCCCTTTCCCCAAATCTTCAATCACAATTGAAGAAATTCTTGCGTCAATGGCATTTCCAAATGTTGGACCACCAAGTACCTTGCCACACTCCTTCCTTCAAGACGGTTCTCATCAAGCACGCTGCCGTCCTCGACATACTTTGCAATCACAAGCAAGCCATTGAGGACTGGTCGACTTCCAATCCAGCAATCTGTTGCTGCAAATCCTGGTCATGTTACAAAGGTGCTGCACTCACTCCTTCTGATCCACACTGGGTCCTATCAGGCTCTCTTCTCCACTCTTTGCTTCCACCGGAGCTTGCAGTGATCGCAGAAGGCTCTTTGTCCAACAACGTCTTTCCGTCGAAGAAAGAGTATCACAACCAGATGCGACTTGGCTTCAAGACCTGGACGAAGAAGAATGGCTTACCTTCCATGCCACAGGCAAACATTTCGGACCTCTGCCATCACCTCTGGTCCGAACACACTCAACAGATCACCAACCACATCACAAAGTCCTCCATCCACCAACTTCAGTCCACGTTCGACGGTGCCATCTTCCACTGTGAGGACAAACATGCCTCTTCACTCAGAATCTACTGTCCATGTCTCTATTACCAATCCATTGAAAGTACCTTTCAAGATCCATCAATTTTCGAACAACTACCAGACGAACCATCCTCCATTGTGTCCTCACTTGTCGAATCCCTCCATCGCCAACATGGAAAAGCCTATCCCTGGGCAGTGGGCTCTGGCCGTCAACTCCCATCAGGATACATTTTGGCAAAACGAAAGAAAGATTTTCGGAGCGGTCGACCCATCATCTCCTTTGTGGAATCTCCATTTAGACCTATGCCCAATATCCTTGCCAGACTCATTTTTCAACTCATTCCAGCTGCCTGTCCCAACCACTTCGCCACAGGGGACGTCTACACCTTATTGTCCATTCTGCGATCAGGACCTGTAGATGCCGACCTGATTTTGGTCAACCAAGATTTGGCAGGTTTCTTCACCAGTATCGACCAAGACCGATTTGTCCGATCTTGGTTCATGCTCCTGGACTTCCTTCGTCCAAAAATGAATGTTTCTGATGATGAAGCCTTCTCGGTCTATCCAGGAAAATCCAACAATCCGTGTGACATCATCAAAGGACGCACCTTTCGTCGTCTCAATGTCACTCGCAAGATTGTCATCAAAGATGTCCCAGAATTGATCAAGTCAGCACTGAATATGCAGACCTTCGCCCTGGGCCAAAGATGTGTCCGCCAAAGCAGAGGAAGTCCCATGTGCAGCCCTCTTTCACCGGCTCTCTGCCTTATGGTCGTTTCCATCAGTGAAAAAATTTGGTCCAGTACCTTCCACCAACTCCTCTCCAATCATCATTTGTTCATTTGACACATCCGATATGTTGACAATCGTCTCATATTCGGTGACAAGCGCCTCACTGCACTTGCACCATATGAAGTCCTCCTGGACGAAGGCTTCTACGGAAAACCCATCATTCTCGAGACAGAACCTGACCAAGAATTTCTTGGTTTCATGCTCGAAACGAAACCTCTTGAGCTGATTTATCAGGGACCGACCAACATCTCTCAAGTACTTTCACCCTTTTCTGCTTCCCCTCCAAAAGTCCTCCTCAGTGGTTTCCGCTCACGCTGCCACATCGTCATCAAGGGTGCCTTCCCTGCTTTTCGTGTTCAACAAGGTCTGACCCAATTAATTCATTTGTACACTCGTGCTGGTTTTCCCAAGGAGGAACTCCGGACAATCTCTGACCAACTTTTGATTCAGCATCAGAACCTTCAATCACAGGGTCAAATGTGGGCTTCCCGCTTGCTTGTCAGGTTTTCGTTGTAGAGTTTCCAGGTTTTTGTTTTTTGTTTGTCTTCCTCTTGTTCTCCTTTCGTTTCCTCTTGTTTTCGGTTGTTTTTTTCCTGTTTTTGGTTTCTTGGCAGCTTTTTGGCTCAACTTCCGCTTGTACCTTCTTTCTCGCTGTGGTCTTCCCTCTGATGGATCACGCTCAGGGTCGTGCTTTTCATCACCACCTGGCTCGGGCCATTATGCATTTAAACCACTTGGCGGGGCTTCTTCCCTTTTTCGAGCCCTCCATTGAATGGGAGGATTCCATGCCTCCTTCACACTTTCGTCTTGACCGCTCGACATCAAGAGGCCTCCACACTTTCGTTCCTTTACCTCCATCGCCACTGTCACCAACAATGGTAACACATGGGGGCATCCCGTCACACATGGTGGTAAATCCTGAACCAAACCTTCGTCCCACCACTATGCGCCCTCCATCTTACATGGAAGTAGACCATACGTCAACCACACCTGTGGAAGGACGCAACCCAGTTCTCATGACGGATCCAGGTCCTGATCCTACTCCGGGCCATCCATCCAGCACTGAACCTGGTCGAGGCAAACCTCGGACCACAACCCTGCCAGAAACTCCAATGTCAATGGTCACGGGAGGGGTCACCCCTGGCCCACTTCCCATCACATCA